CGGGGCATGGCCTCTCGCCTTCTTGTCTCTGGCCTTCCCCGGTCCCTCCCTCCCCTTCCTCCAGGGCCTGGCCCTCCCTGTGTCCCCTGTGTCGAGGGTCGCCTGCGGGCTACCCCTCACTCCTCCCCGTTCCCTCCGACGGAGGCCCCGATGCTGACGCTTCACATGGACGTGTGGGGCCCAGCCCGCGTCCGTGGACAGGGTCACGAGCGCTACTTCCTGCTGGTGGTTGACGACTACTCGCGTTACACCACAGTCTCCCCCTTGCGCAGCAAGGGTGAGGTCACTGAGGTGTTGATCGACTGGATCCGCGCAGCTCGTCTCCAGCTCAGGCGGAGCTTCGGCTCGGACTTTCCTGTTTTGCGTCTGCATTCGGACAGAGGCGGAGAGTTCTCCTCCGGCCTTCTGCGAGCCTACTGTCGGCACGAGGCATCCGCCAGACCTTCACGCTTCCGGACTCTCCACAGCAGAATGGGATTGCTGAGCGCCGCATCGGCATTGTCATGGACGTCGCCCGTACGTCCATGGTGCATGCGGCTGCCCCCCATTTTCTGTGGCCGTTTGCGGTTCGGTACGCCGCGCATCAGATCAACCTTCAGCCCAGAGTCTCCCGACCGGAGACCTCCCCAGCTTTGCTGTGGACGGGGAAGGTTGGCGATGCGTCGGCGTTCCGTGTCTGGGGATCTCGGGCGTTTGTCCGCGACTTGTCTGCGGACAAGCTGTCTCCTCATGCTGCTCCCTGTGTCTTCCTTGGCTTCCCCACAGACGCTCCCGGGTGGCAGTTTTACCACCCCTCCTCTCGTCGTGTTCTGTCCTCCCAGGACGTCACGTTCGACGAGTCAGTCCCCTTCTACCGCCTCTTCCCCTACCGCACTCCTTCCCTCCCCCCTCCGCCGGACTTCCTTGTGCCAGTTCCCCCCCCGGTAGACCCCCTCCCCCCTCAGGTTCCTGCCCCCTCAGGTGTGTCCCAGGTAGACGCACTTGACGCGGTCGAGGTTACTGGTGACTCTGGTGTTGCTGCGGGTGCTGAGCCTGGGGGTGCTGACTCTGGGGGTGCTGTGCGCGGGGGTGCCGAGCCTGAAGGTGCTGCTACTGGGGGTGCTGGGCCTGGGAGTGCTACTGCGGAGGGTGCGGAGCCTGGGGGTGCTGAGCCGGGGGGTACGGTGCCTGGAGCTTCTGAGCTAGGGGGTGCTGGGTCTGGGGGTGCTGGGTCGGGAGCTGCTGAGCCTGGGGGTACTGAGTCTGGGGCTGCTGAGCCTGGGGGTGCTACGTCTGGAGCTGTTGAGCCTGGGGTTTCTCTTGCTTCTGCGTCTCGCCGGGAGCCCCTCTCTCCACAGGAGCTACGCGAGTGGTTTGCTCGCCGCTGGAGGCGTGCTGCTGGAGCTGGAGCTTCTTCGACCGTCGATGGTGCTGGTGCTGCCGGTCCCGGAGCTGCTGGGTCTGCGGGTACTCCTGGAGCAGGAGCTCGTGAGGGTGTTGGTGCTGAGACTCCTGCTGTCTGTCCCGGCGGTGGTTCTGCTACTGGTGCTGCTGGAGGTCCTGCCGCTGGAGGTGTTGGTGGCGCTGGTGCTGTCGCTGAGGGTGCTGGTGCTGTCCCTGCTGAGTCTGGAGCTGCCGCGCGGCCTCGACCGTACTTCGTTCCACTCCTGCAGCAGGGTCTTGGTCTTTCTCCTCCGGTAGAGTGTTCACAGCCTGTCCAGTCACAGTCACTGTTGGAGCCTTCCTCTCCACTGCCTGCTCCCTCTCCTTACACTGGTCCTACTGGAGGTCTTGCTGAGCGTCGTGAGCCTGCGTCTCGTCCTGCGTCGCCTGTTCGTGCTGCTCGCACTAGTGGTCGCGGTTCGCGTCAGCGTCCTCCTCCTGTCCCTGGCACGCACCGGATGTCTCTACGTCCGTCCACTGCTCCTCTGCGTGCCCCTTTGCCTTCTCCTCCTGAGTCCTCTCTTCCTGCCCTTGCCGACCCGGAGTCGGACTCTCTTCGTGCTGCCAGTCCTACTGTCACGCGTCTGCTTGCTACTGTCGTCACTGACCCCTCGTTTGAGTCCACTGCTGCGTCTGCTCTTGTCACTGACCTCGTCGACTTTGCTGCTCGCTGTCGTCTAGACTATGCTGCTAGTCTTGTTGCTGAGTCTGCGTCTGTCTGTCCTCCGTCCGTCGGGGGTGAGTGTGCTCTTGGCACGGACGTCCTAGAGGACAGGCAGGAGGAGTTACAGTGTCTGGCTGCTGCTTCACCTCATCTTGCGTCTGTACTGCTTGCTCCTGAGGGAGACCCGGATGCACTAGACATCCCGACTCCGCGCTCTTACGCGGAGGCCGTAGAGGGTCCCTACTCGTCTCAGTGGCAGGCAGCTATGGATGCAGAGATGGCTTCCTGGAAGTCCACAGGCACCTACGTTGACGCAGTTCCCCCTCCTGGGGCGAACATCGTCAGTGGCATGTGGATCTTCAGGGTGAAGCGGCCACCGGGCTCTCCACCTGTCTTCAAGGCGCGGTACGTTGCTCGTGGCTTCAGTCAGCGGCAGAGAGTTGACTACTTTCAGACCTTCTCTCCCACCCTGAAGATGACCACTCTTCGGGTGCTGCTGCACATAGCCGCTCAGCGCGACTACGAGCTTCACTCTCTCGACTTCAGCACTGCGTTCCTACAGGGTAGCCTGCACGAGGAGATCTGGCTGCGCCGTCCACCTGGCTTCACTGGGACTTTCCCTCCTGGCACCCAGTGAAGCCTCCGTCGGCCAGTCTACGGTCTCCGCCAGGCACCGCGTGAGTGGCACGACACACTGAGGACTACACTTGCGGCTCTTGGGTTTGCTCCTTCTACTGCTGACCCGTCGTTGTTTCTGCGCACCGACACTTCTCTGCCGCCATTCTACATCCTCGTGTACGTCGACGACTTGGTCTTTGCCACAGCGGACACTGCTCGACTCGCCTACGTGAAGTCCGAGCTGCTGAAGAGACACACGTGCACAGACCTGGGTGAACTGCGCAGCTACCTTGGCTTGCAGATCACTCGGGACAGAGCACGCCGCACCATTACCCTGACTCAGTCACACATGGTGCAGCAGGTCCTTCAGCGCTTCGGCTTCACGTACTCCTCGCCTCAGGCCACTCCTCTGTCTACTCGCCACTCGCTCTCAGCTCTGCCTTCGGATGAGTCCGTGGAGTCGAGTGGCCCGTACCCAGAGCTTGTTGGCTGCCTCATGTACCTGATGACCTGCACACGACCTGATCTTGCATACCCTCTGAGCATTCTTGCACGCTATCTTGCTCCTGGGAGACACCGACCAGAGCACATGGCTGCAGCGAAGAGGGTGTTGCGCTACCTGTGCAGTACGTCGGGCATGGGGCTAGTGCTTGGAGGGCGCCGTCCAGTGGTCCTTACAGGGCACGCGGACGCTTCTTGGGCTGACGACCAGGCTACGCAGCGGTCGTCACAGGGTTACACCTTCAGTCTTGGTTCCGGCTCTGTCTCTTGGCGGGCTACTCGCTCGTCTTCGGTTCTGAGCTCCAGTTGTGAGGCTGAGATCTACGTTGGGGCCATGGCTGCACAGGAGCTTCGCTGGCTCACCTACCTGCTGACTGACCTTGGAGAGCCGCCTCGTTCTCCTCCAGTGCTGTACGTAGACAACAAGGCCATGCTGGCCTTGTGTCGAGAGCAGCGTCTGGAGCACAGAACGAAGCACATTGCTCTTCGCTACTTCCTTGCTCGTGAGCTACAGCAGCGTGGACAGTTGCGGCTTGCGTACGTGGCCTCTGAGGCCAACACTGCTGATGTGTTCACCAAGGCACTCGCGCCTTGTGACCATCAGCGCTTCTGCACCCAGCTGGGTCTTGTGCCTGTCTTGCCTCACTTGCTCTCCTCTTGACTTTACTTGTACTGTCACATATATATACCTGCTCTTGCTTGTCTAGCTTTATATATATATGTGTTAGTACTCCTGCATGTGAATTGGCCTTGTGGCCTTGCTCTTGTGCTCGGACTGTGTGGTGACTTTGTGATCCACCCTGAGCTTTGGTTTGCTTTGCTTGACTGGTCTTGTGACCCCTTGTTCTCCCCCACTTTGCCTATGGGGGTGTGTCAGAACATATATGTAGCTTATGCTGTTGTGTAGGCTACAGTGGGGTATACCATAGGGGGTACAACCCAATTAGGGTTTTGCTATTTGTACTCACTTCACTCATAGTTCATTCATTTCTCGCTCTATTCTCCACATGCTCCTGACGCGTTTGTGGCGAATTCACCCCCAAAACACAGATTTTAGTAAAATTTCATAGGGTGCGCTTATACGAAGATGATCCAAATTTAGGGTGGGGTTATAATTGGCAACCGGCGATAAGCCCACTGGTACGATTATAAGCGAGGTACCTCCAGTGGTACATGACCCGGCACCAGAGCCGACTGTGGGGGTTACGTGTTACCTTCCCCTCTGAAGCCAACGCCCATCCGGGTACGGCTGTCCCCGAAACGGGGCACGCTCTTATGGTGATCGATGGGGGTTTTAGCAACTGAATGCACAGCCGGTATAATGCTGCTTACTGAAGCGCCTTCTCCCTACGGGGGGTTGGTTTCCTCCGGGGATCTCCTTAAAGCCCAAAAAAAAAAAAAAAAAAAAAGTACGATTATAAGCGCATGGGTGTACGGTAACTGAGGCCTGGGGGTATATCCGGGGCATGACGGTACAGGTTAATGTACAGTACAGACAGACCCCTCCTCTTGTGATTTTGTCAGAAATTCAAGGTTGATCTACCGTATGCGATCCAAATAGGATGATCCGATGATCCGCTAGAAATAAAACACCATATATTAATTCACACACGGCACTATCCATCGCTCATGGTTCTCTTTGTAGGAGCAACAAGCACACGGATCCCCTTGAAACCCACCCCTTACATACACCCTCCCCTCACTGTCATTCCTACAAATCTTCTTCTCAAAACGGTGCCGGAACTCTTTTGAAGGCTTCATGACCTTAGTGCCCATCCACGTGGGCTTCATGACCTTACCGCCCATCCGCTTGTGATTGAAATGGTGCACAAATTGGAGAGATGGCAGCAGCCACAGCGACTCTGGCAGCACCTTTACGCCCGTGTCAACGATATACACGCTAGAGAGATAAGGAAGCAAAGACGAGTTGGAACCAAGGTCTCGGCGTGCTTTCGTCTCCCTGGAGAAACTTAAGGGAGAGCGGAGTGGGGCTGACAAGGCCGATAGGAAAAAATTCTTCCCCTTTTGGGCTGTGACAGAAGTGCAGCTGCTGAGATCACCTGCTAATGTGCACATTTCAGCTTCAGGAGGAGAATCCCCCTCCACATTGTCGCACCGTAACGCATCGAAATTCACCGCTTCACTGATCACCCACCCCTCCACCCCACCCACACTACATGCCTCCATAGCACCATTGCAGAACGGAAGAAAATCCAGATCTTGAATGCTGAGGCAGGAGCGAATCGCGAGGGAGGAGAGAGAGGACAAGGCAGAGGGGATGTTGTGTGGGAGGGATTCGAGCTGCGAGCAGCCATGGATGACTAGGGCTTGCAGGTTGGAGAGCAGGGAGAGAGACGGAGGAAGCTCCTCAAGCTTCCACAGAAGTGACACGGTCAGCCTGCGAAGGTTTTTCAGCTGCCCGAGTGGAGGGAGAGAGTCCAGATGGCGGAGTCCCACCAGACGAAGGCTTTCGAGAGCGGGCAGCCATATCTGGCCTAGGCAAGGGGAGTCGACCGGGCCGGGCAGGTCTCGAAGAGCTGTGCACTGCTCCAGATCCAGAAAACGGAGATTTGAGAGCTGCCTGAAGGAGTCGGGCAGGCTGGATAAATGATACACCCAGATCATGCGAAGGGTCTGCAGTTGGGAGAGCGACCCAAAAGTATGGGGAAGGGCGGTGAGAGATGCACAGTTATGGAGCTCCAAAAGTTTTATTCTGAGCTGCCCAAAAGAGTCGGGCAGTGACACCAAACCTGTGCAGTCCCTCAACCGCAGCTGCTGAAGGTTGGCCAAGCTGCCCATCCTCTCGGGCAGCTGACTCAATTTCCTCAGTCTAAGCCAAAGCACTTGTAGCAGGGGCAGGTCACAGATCTCTTCGGGCAGGGCAGAAACTTTTTCCGAGGTGACCTCCAAGTGGCTAAGCATCTTCAGTGCGCCAACACACGCAGGCAGCGCCTGCAAGCACCAGCTGTTGACTCTTAGGTAAGTGAGCGCACTTAAACACTGCAAGTGTGAAGCGCATGTGGTCAGAGAAGTTAGGGATGAATCCCGCTGCCTCCTAATCCGAGCACTTATTAAGTCCAGGCTGGTACCGCTATCACCCCTTGTAGGCATCAAATTCTGCCCCTGGGCCTGCCTCCTTTCCTCCGCTTCCCCGCAGCCTCCCCTTCCGCCTTCCCCTCCCCCCGCCGCCCCCGCCAGCGCATGCTTTCCGCCTTCCCCCCAGCACCATGCGCCACTGTCCCCCAAGTCGAGCGCGGAGAGGTTGGTGAGGCGGGAGACGGCGGGCGGAAGCGCGGAGATTGCGCTCAGGGAGAGCAGGCGCAACGACTCCAGGCGCGGGCATCTGCGGAAGAGCGCGGAGAGTCCGGCGGCGGAAACTCGGCCCTCCACGCGAGATTGGTGAGCGAGAGCGAAGCTCTTCAGATGCGGACACGTGTCAGAGATCCGACGGAGCAGCTCGTCTTGAAGGATTGGAGAATCGAACGGTGGAATGATAACATTTTCCGCAATATCTAGATACGTGATTGTAGGGAAAGTTCTCAAAGCGCACAGGAGGTCATCCGGGGTAATCTCCCTCGTTATTGTCACATGGGAGAGCGAGAGGCGGAGGAGGCGGCACCAGCGCTTGCAGACCAGATTCGTCTGCAAGGCGAGGTGGATCGAGCGACGCGAGACGAGGCGAAGCACCACCGCGAGAACGTCGTCTGGAAGTTCGTTCACGGGAAAAAGAACGAAATGCGGCTCATCTTGTGAGTCGTAACCCGAATCCGACGGTGAGGATTGCGAGAAAAAAGCGTTGATATTGGCGGTGAGGAATGCCATGGTGGGAATACAGCAAGCGAGAAAATCGGCTACTAGGTGAGTGGGTTTGTGTGCCTCCCTTGCCTTAGATTCTAGTCGAGCTGTGGAGACCCAAAAACGTTATGCTCATATTAACCACTTATCCCCGGTACAAGGTGTAAGTACGCCAGTATATTAGAATTAAACCTGATTCACCAATGGATGTATGACATCTGTAAGTACTACCACAAATACCATCATGCATCCCATGTAGCTAATACAAAATCGCGGCAATGCACACACGGGTAGCTATAATTCCTAGAGTAAACAAACCCTCCTTGCACGCTCTCGCACGAATACCTGGAAAACCCGTACACCTCCGGCAATGAAAACACCGGAAAACCAAACCACCCCCCATTTCGAAAGTGTACAGTCTGTAGTGACTCCACATGTAGAAGAGATGGTGGAAGGGACTTCATGCCACAATCAAACACAAGCACATGCCGTAACGTGTCCGTGCCGCCCCTGCTGGCCTTCCCCTCCTCACTATCCAGACTGCACAAGCTTGTGCACTCAATAAGTGCCACCTTGGACAGGTTCCGAAGGCCTGAGATTGTGCCACGTGGCAGGGATGCCAGGTTGGCACATTGGTGAATGACCAGCAGTTCGAGGGATGGCAGTTGTGGGAGAGAGGCAGGGAGGTACTCTAGATTGGGCAGCTGAGAAAGCATTAGCTTGCGCAGGGATTTCAGCTGCCCGAGAGAATCGGGCAGGACAGTGAAATTGTCCAGTCTGACCAGCCTGAGAAGCTCCAACTTTGGCAGGCAGCCTAGATCTTTGGGCAAGGCAAGGATCCCAGTGTGGTCCGTCATCTCTAGTATCACTAACGAGGACAGCCCTAACGAGGACGAAGGAAACTGCCTCCCCACACTCCAGTGGGAGTAGTTCCCTGCCAGATTCCCCTCCTGCTGTTCCCCCCCTTCCCATGGCCTCCCTTCCTCTTGCTGCTGCTGCTGCTGCTGCACCACCCCCTCCTGCATCTCATCCGCTCTCTCCTCCTCCTCCTCCTCCTCCTCCTCCTCCTCCTCCTCCTCCTCCTCCTCCTCCTCCTCCTCCTCCTCCTCCTCCTCCTCCTCCTCCTCCTCCTCCTCCTCCTCCTCCTCCTCCTCCTCCTCCTCCTCCTCCTCCTCCTCATCTTCCTGCATGCGCCCACCCAACCCAGTACGCAACCCAATAGGCCGCGCCCTCCTCTGTTGATCCTGCCCCTGCTCCTGACTCACATTCTGATGGGGGACGGAAAAGGATCCTCCAGAAACGCCTCCCCGAGCAACCGACGAAGACGCTTGGGAAGGGGAGGGAGGCGCAAGCGATGCAGAGGCGGTGCCAGGCGGAAGGGATTCGTGGGACGGGCGGGGTGGTGGAGGGAGGAGTTGCGCGGTGAGGGGGGGCACGTGGGGGAGGTCCGGGAGAGCTGCAATGCTGAGTCGTTCCAAGCGGGCTAGGAGGTAGAGGGAGAGGGGCAGGCGCACCACCCCGCATGTGCTCATGTCGAGGACTCTCAGCTTCGGCAGGTGCCCGAAGAGTTCGGGCAGCGTGCGCAGGCTCGAAAGCTCGTGCAGTTTTAGGGTTTCCAAAGCGGGCAGGAAGCTGAAACTTTCTGGGAGAGACCGGAGCCGGTCGCAGAGGTGTATGCTGAGGAAGGATAGGCTGGAAAGCTGCCCGAACGAGTCGGGAAGTTTGGGCAGACTCTCGCAGTTTGTCAGCCACAATCGCTGCAAGTTTTTCAACCTGCCCAGGCTCTCGGGCAGCTCCTCCAAAGACTTGGCCTCGAGCTTCAGCACCGCCAACGACCCTAGCTGCCCGAAATTGCCGGGCAGCGAACTAAGGACCTCTGAATGGATTTCTAGATGCTCCAAACGTGTCAGCTCGCCGATGCTCCACGGTAGGCTCTCAAAGCAGCGACTGCTCACAACCAGCTTCCTCATACAGCTTAACGAATCTAGGCTTATATCGGGTTCAATCAGTTTCGTGAACGTATCCAATCCGCGCCAGGCCGGGTCGTCCCCTAACTCGAGGACTTCTAGCTGGGAGAGGAGCGTGAGGGACGCGGGTAGCGCGGAGATCCCGCTGAGGGAGAACAGGCGGAGCTGCTGCAGGCGTGCGCACCCGCGGAAGAGCGCGGAGAGCCCTGCGGGGGAGAAGCGCGCGCGGAACTGGTACCCGATGAGCAGGCGCGTGAGACTGGGGCAGCGTGCAGAAATTCCGCGCAGGAGTTCGTCTGTCGCGTGCGGAACGGTGTTCTCCGCTATATCGAGTTGTGACAATGTCGGGAATGTGTCTACGGCGGAGAGAAGCTGCGCGGAGTGCACGGCGCGCGGAACCTTGAGGTAGACGCGCGCGAGGCACGTGAGACGGAACCAGCGCTTGCACACAAAGGCGTGCGCGAGGGAGTTGCGGGAGAGATGCTGGAGGACCAATGAGAGCACGTCGTCAGGCAGACAGTCCAACGGGAATGCCGGATGCTGATTTGCCAAATGGCAGGTAGATGCGGGACGATCCGACGGTGCATCTATACGGTGTGGATGATGACGAGATCTTGAGACCGTCGGATCTCGCACTCGTTCCAAGCCGTCGATTCCTTGTAACACGGAACTCGAGGCGATTGCGATAGATGCCATCTAAGCACGCTTTAGTAAAAAACACGTCGTTAGCGAGCGTTGGATTCGAGTAACAGAGGAACGCTAAGGAAATCGAGAGACTTTGTGGCAGCTTTAGTATTCTGGAGGATGTTAGTGCTAGTGAGCGATCACCTGAAGTTCTGGAATTTGCCGCGCCCCTTTGCGTCCGCCTGCTCCGCTGGCACCCTTCCCCCTATCTACGCGAACTCTGCGCGAATGTCCGCGCAGATTCTGCGCAGGAGGACGCAGTTATCTAGTGCCGAATGTCGCGAGCGTTGTCGTGTGGCGAGTGTCTAGTGCTCTGTGCCGTGCGGCGAAAGTTTTCGCGAAGATGGTATTCACGAAAGCTTGTAGTGGTACTCGTTACGACACGACCACCATTCAGATGAGCAGTAGATACCTTCAAAGTGGAGACACAAAGTGATATCAATATTAGTAGAACGATTTGAAAGAATGGGACATTGCATCCAAGGTGTAAGGATAACACTGCAAACAGTACTAGCATTGCAATGCGTGCAATAGCGTAAATCACAGCAACAGCTACATCACCGTTGATGTGAAACAGCACGTCTTATTTATTTGTAGGTTGATCAGTGGGATTGGTAATGGAACGAACCCACTCGGGCGGTCTCATACTAATGTCACTCCAAACGGCAGACACTCATGGCACACCACTCGCAAAGTGCACCTGCGGACAGAAAGAAAAACCAAACAATCGAAATCAGTCACCACAAGCATAAAACCAAAACGTTTTTTCCACAAAAGAGCAGGAGTGACAAAAACTCACCGGTTGATACCCGTCTACCTGCAGCTCGTACTTGGGTGAGTACAAGTGCACCTGCGTGGTGTGGTGGTGGCTCCCAAGAAAACCACTGACAGATCCATGGCAGCACCAGAGCCCGTTGTTCCCTTCCCTCCCGTTTCAATTTCAACTCACACGAAGCATCTCACGAGTGACAACACTGACCGGTTGGTACCCATCTGTGTGCAGCTCATACTTGATGATCGCTGGATCGTCCCATAATCCGCTCGAAGTCGCTCTGCTTCAGTGTGCCACCAGAATCATCGACACTGCCGCATCGTCCTCTGTGCGCATGTCCACCACCACCACCCGCCGAGGTGACCTTTGAGGCTTCCTCCTCAATGCGAGTACCCACCCCCACTACCTGCCGTGACTTTTGAGTCGACTCAGGAATCATTGATACTGCTGTCTCTTTCTCTGTGCGCGTGTCCACCACCACCTCCCGCCGCCCGCCGCCTGCCAACTCCCTCCTCCTCCCCCCGATTCCCCTCCTCCCTCTCCACTCACGCCCCCTCACCCCCCCCCCACTCACGCCACCTCCCCTCACTTCCGTCCCACCCGCCTCCCCAATCGTCCCCAATCCCTCTCCCCCACCCCCTACCTGCTGGGATGGCAGCAGCTGGTGCAGCTAATTCACGTCCATCTCAAGCACCTGGCGGAGGGAGGAATGGGTATGTGGGATGGGGAGAACAGGGGGGAACGCGTGGCGCAGGGGAACAAGTGAGAGGGTAGATTTAGCAGCTGGAGCAGCTCATTCACACTCATCTCAGGCACCTGGCATGCAGATGAGGGGATAAGAAGAGAAGAGCGGGAGGGGGTGAGCTGGTGAGGGGGCGGCAGTAGCTGGTGCAGCTCAGTCACACTCATCTCAGGCACCTGGCATGGAGATGAGGGGGAGGTACCGCTGCTACGGGGGGCAGTGAGGAGGAGGCGCCGGTGCTCTGGGGGGCAGTGAGGGCGAGGCGCCGCTGCTCTGGCGGGCTGTGAGGAGAGGCGCCGCTGCTCCGGGTTGACTTTTGAGTCGACTCAAAAGTCAACTCGGTATAATGTCACACGGTATCATTTCTATATGCGGGCAATTCTCGCTCGGAGTTCACCAAAACGAGTTGGTAATTTCTTAATTCAGCTCATAAGTGCTAGTTTACTGTAGATTTGTTTTCTACTGTTTTCATCTAGCTTTCCCCCACCTTCCTTGGCCATGCGGAGGAATGCCTCGCGATTGAGCCCTTGGGGTTGGTATTTAGCCTGCTTGCTTCTCTTTTCTGAACTTTGTGGTCTGAAGAAGGCTCGAAGAGCCGAAACTAGTTACCGCCAACCTTTCTTTTTCACAAGGTTTTTACAAGCAAGCAAGAAACCAAATTAAGCAACGTTTTGCTAAACACAGCTGCTGCCACGCCACGCCATGCCTCCTATGTGGAGGTCCATCGGAGGCGCCGCTGCTCTGGGGGCTGTGAGGAGAGGCGCCGCTGCTCTGGGGGGCTGTGAGGAGAGGCGCCGCTGCTCTGGGGGGCTGTGAGGAGAGGCGCCGCTGCTCTGGGGGGCTGTGAGGAGAGGCGCCGCTGCTCTGGGTTGACTTTTGAGTCGACTCAAAAGTCAACTTGGTATAATGTCACACGGTATCTTTTCTACACGCAGGGCAATTCTCGCTTGGAGTTTACCAAAACGAGTTGGTGATTTCTTAATTTCAGCTCATAAGTGCTAGTTTACTGTAGATTTGTTTTCTACTGTTTTCATCTAGTTCTCCCACACCTTCCCTGGCCATGCGGAGGAATGCCTCGCGATTGAGCCCTTGGGGTTGGTATTTAGCCTGCTTGCTTCTCTTTTCTGAACTTTGTGGTCTGAAGAAGGCTCGAAGAGCCGAAACAAGTTACCGCCAACCTTTCTTTTTTCACTAGGTTTTTACAAGCAAGCAAAAAACCAAATTAAACAACGTTCTGCTAAAGACAGCTGCTGCCACGCCACGCCATGCCTCCTACGTGGGGATCCATAGGAGGCGCCGCTGCTCTGGGGGCTGTGAGGAGGAGGCGCCGCTGCTCTGGGGGGCTGTGAGGAGAGGCGCTGCTGCTCTGGGGAGCTGTGAGTGAGAAGATATAAACGAGAATGAATGCAGTATGAAAGAAGAGAGTACAAGTACTAACCCTAATTGGGTTGTACCCCCTATGGGATGCCCCACTGTAGCCTACACAAAATGTATAAGCTACAATATTCTGACACACCCCCATAGGCAAAGTGGGGGAGAACAAGGGGTCACAAGACCAGTCAAGCAAAGCAAGCTCAGGGTGGATCACAACGTCAGCACACAGTCTGAGCACAAGTTCAGGGCCACAGGGCCAGTTCACATGCAGGAGTATAGATATATAAAAGCTAGACAAGCAAGAGCAGGTATAAATATAGGCAATTGTACAAGCAGCATCAAGAGGTGAGCAAGTGAGGCAAGACAGGCACAAGACCCAGCTGCGTACAGAAGCGCTGATGATCACAAGGCGCAAGTGCCTTGGTGAAGACATCAGCAGTGTTGGCCTCAGAGGCCACGTAGGCAAGCCGCAACTGACCACGCTGCTGTAGCTCACGAGCAAGGAAGTAGCGAAGAGCAATGTGCTTTGTTCTGTGCTCCAGTCTCTGCTCTCGACACAAGGCCAGCATGGCCTTGTTGTCTACGTACAGGACTGGAGGAGAACGAGGCTGCTCTCCAAGGTCAGTCAGCAGGTAGGTGAGCCAGCGAAGCTCCTGTGCAGCCATGGCCCCTGCGTAGATCTCAGCCTCACAACTGGAGCCGAGAACAGAAGACGAGCGAGTAGCCCGCCACGAAACAGAGCCAGAACCAAGGCTGGAGGTGTAACCGTGTGACGACCGCTGCATAGCCTGGTTGTCAGCCCAAGAAGCGTCTGCGTGTCTAGTGAGGACCACTGGACTTCGCCCTCCAAGCACTAGCCCCATACCCGACGTACTGCACAAGTAGCGCAACACCCTCTTCGCTGCAGCCATGTGCTCTGGTCGGTGTCTCCTAGGAGCAACATAGCGTGCAAGAATGCTAAGAGGGTATGCAAGGTCAGGTCGAGTGCAGGTCATCAGGTACATGAGGCAGCCAACAAGTTGTGGGTACGGGCCACTCGACTCTACGGACTCATCCAAAGGCAGAGCTGAGAGCGGGTGGCGAGTAGGCAGAGGAGTGGCCTGAGGCAAGGAGTACGTGAAGCCGAAGTGCTGAAGGACCTGCTGCACCATGTGTGACTGAGTCAGGGTAATGGTGCGGCGTGCTCTGTCCCAAGTGATCTGCAAGCCAAGGTAGCTGCGCAGTTCACACAGGTCTGTGCAGGTGTGTCTCTTCTGCAGCTCCGACTTCACGTAGGCGAGTCCAGCAGTGTCAGATGTGGCAAAGACCAAGTCGTCGACGTACACGAGGATGTAGAACGCCGGCAGAGAGGTGTCGGTGCGCAGAAACAGCGACGGGTCAGCAGTAGAAGGAGCAAACCCAAGAGCCGAAAGCGTAGTCCTCAGTGTGTCGTGCCACTCACGTGGCGCCTGGCAGAGACCGTAGACTGGACGCCGGAGACTCAACTGGGTACCAAGAGGGAAAGACCCAGTGAAGCCAGGTGGTCGGCGCAGCCAGATCTCCTCGTGCAGGCTGCCCTGCAGGAAAGCAGTGCTGAAGTCGACAGAGTGCAGCTCGTAGTCACGGTGAGCAGCAACGTGCAGCAGTACCCGAAGAGTGGTCATCTTCGGGGTGGGGGAGAAGGTCTGAAAGTAGTCAACTCCCTGTCGCTGTCTGAAGCCACGAGCCACGTAACGCGCCTTGAAGACAGGCGGAGAACCCGGCGGCCGCTTCACCCTGAAGATCCACATGCCACTGACGATGTTCGCCCCAGGAGGGGGGACAGCGTCAACGTAGGTGCCTGTGGACTTCCAGGAAGCCATCTCTGCATCCATAGCTGCCTGCCTTTGGGAAGAGTAGGGACCGTCTATCGCCTCCGCGTAAGAGCGCGGAGTCGGGATGTCAAGTGCATCCGGGTCTCCCTCAGGGGTAAGCAGTACGGACACGAGATGAGGTGAAGCAGCGGCCAAGCACTGGAACTCCTCCTGCCTGTCCTCAAGGACGTCCGTGCTAAGAGCACACTCACCCCCGACGGACGGAGGACAGACAGACTCAGACTCAGCGACAAGACTAGCAGCGTAGTCTAGACGACAGCGAGCAGCAAAGTCGACGAGCTCAGCAACTAGGGCAGACGCAGCAGTGGACTGAAAGGAAGGGTCAGTGACAGCAGTAGCAAGGAGACGCGTGACAGTAGGACTGGCAGTACGAAGAGATTCCGACTCCGGGTCGGCAAGAGCAGGAAGAGAGGACTCAGGAGGAGAAGGCAAAGGGGCACGCAGAGGAGCAGTGGACGGACGCAGAGACATCCGGTGCGTGCCAGGGACAGGAGGAGGACGCTGACGCGAACCACGACCACTAGTGCGAGCAGCATGGACGGATGACGTAGGGAGAGACGCAGGCTCACGACGCTCAGCAAGACCTCCAGTAGGACCAGTGTAGGGAGAAGGAGCAGGCAAAGGGGAGGCAGGCTGTAACTGCAACTGTGACGGGAGAGGCTGTGGACACTCTAAGGGAGGAGGAGGACCAGTAGAAGGTGGAAGACCAAGAACTTGCTGCAGGAGCGGAACGAAGTACGGCCGAGGCCGCGTGGCGACTCCAGACACAGCAGGGACAGCAACAGTACCCTCAGCGGCAGCACCAGCACTAGCAGCACCTCCAGCTCTAGTTCCTCCAGCAACACCAAGAACACCCCCCGCGGGACCGCCAGCAGTAGTCTCAGCGCCAACACCCTCAGCAGCACCAGCTCCAGTCGAACTCGCAGGCCCAGCAGCTCCATTACGCCTAGTACGAGCACCTCCGGGACCCGCGACAGCAGCACCCTCAGTAGTCAAAGAACCTCCAGCTCTAGCAGCATGCCTCCAGCGCCTGGCAAACCACTCGCGCAGCTCCTGTGGAGAGAGTGGCTCCCGCAGAGACGACGCACCCGGAGAACCTCTAGGCGTAGCACCCGCAGGCACAGCACCCCCAGGCTCAGCATCCCCAGGCGTAGCACCCCCAGGCTCAGCACCCCCAGGCTCAGCACCCCCAGTCTCAGCACCCCCAGGCTCAGCACCCCCAGGCTCAGCACCCCCAGTCTCAGCACCCCCAGGCTCAGCACCCCCAGTCTCAGCATCCCAAGGCTCAACACCCTCAGCAGCACCAGAGTCACCAGTAACCTCGACAGGCTCGACTGCGTCTACCTGGTGTCAGAATGTTATTCTCTAGCCTGTAGTGGGGTGCTCTATAGCGAGTACAACCCTTCTAGGGTTTGCTATTTGTATCTCCATTCCTGCTAGTGAACCACCTCATTCTCCTTCTCAACTCTCTCAACTTTCTCGACATTCTCCTTACCCTAGAACTCGATCTACTAAGAACCTAAACTATGGCTCCTAAGCCAACCTATGCTTAAAACTTGAACATGGAATCAGAGCTGTTACGCTCTTGGCCTGCGGGCCCGCCTACTGCTTCCGCTGCTACTGTTCTGCTGGTCGCGCGCACCAGGCGCGGGACACTTTATCATCCCGCCACGCGCTCGTGGCGCGCGGCGGTTTTCTGCACGCCATGCGCTCGGGACGCGTGGCGGTTTCCTGTCCGCCGCGCACCCTGGGCACGCGCGGCGGTTTCGCGTTCCGTCGACCCGCGCACCCGTCCCCGTCGACCTGCGCGCAACTCTCCGTCGCCCTTTGCGGCGGCCCCCTCAACCCGCGCGCGGCCCCATCGACCCGCGCGCGGCTCCTCGTCACCCTTCGCGGCGGCCCCGTCGACCCGCGCGCGGCTCCCCGTCGCTCTTCGCGGCGGCCCCGTCGACCCGCGCGCCGCTTCCGAGGACCCGTGCGCCCGTCCCCGTCGACCCGCGCGTCGCCGTCGACCCGCCCGTCCCCGTCGACCCGCGCGTCGTTTCCTTAAAAAAAAACCGCCAAACTCGGGTAAAACGGGCGGTTCCAGCGAGTTAGCGGGTTCCAGGGAGGCGCCATGGCAGGCTACTTTATTACCACCTCTACGATAATAATGTGCACTTCGAGTGAGGAGGGAAATGGAGGGTCTGCCGCTACTTTAGCCGCGGGGCCAGTTACTCCAGTAACAGTTTTGGCATCCAATACAGGTATGGATGATGGATGTAATTCGTTTGGCAGGGATGGACCTAGGTTGGGCAGGCTGGAACTTGTTAGGAGCCGTTGCATTTGATTATTATTCACTTCTCCCGACGATTTTTTTGCGTGAGGTGCGGGACGGCGTTGGTTGGGATGGTCCAGAAATTAGGACGTGGGTCCAATCGAGTCTGATCGCCACGATCATTCGCGTTCAAGAACTTCCAGGAAGCCTGGAAGCCAATTTCAGGCAATCGGGGGCAATCAGCTGATCGTGATCAACTGATCGCCCCAACTCGATCAAACCCGATTTTCACCCCGATCAGAGCCAATTGTCCTCTATCACAGGCGATCACTTGATTGCATGTGATCGGGGCCCACAGCGATGCTTGCGATTAGTTACAATGTTTCGCTTACAGTGAAACGAATATTTTCGCCGGGTGACTTCCGGTCGTCAATCTCGCTAGAATGGGGACGAAACTGCTAGGCAAATATATCGCGCTTGATGAGCAACTGTTGATGAACTTCTTCAAAAAACATATCTGATCGCGCGGCTCGGGCACCGCGATCACAAGCAACCCGATCATATTCGACCCGATCTGACCAGTCGCGATCAAACTCGATTGGGCCCACGTAGTTAGTGCGTGGTTGAACGAACAGCTATTTAGCTGCCCCGTCAACCAGTTTTGATGGGGTTTTGAGTTGAGCACGCACTGTTACAGAACTTTTTCGCTCCCAGTGCAGCTATAGTGCTTCTGGCGCACTGTTACTGCTCTGTTTTCGCTCACAACGCAGAGTTAGCTCCTTTCAACGCAGTTTTGATTTCAAGGTCCACACATTGCACATAACTACAAACCGAACCTGTGGATACTGTCACAGAAAACAGTTACTTTGATTTGTTCTTAGTGCTACAACTCTTATATACCCGTTTAAAAAAGGTATCTACTCTAAACACCTTCCGAATGGTGTTTAGGGTTGATGCTCTATCGAGACCAGCCATCGAAAAAAATATACTCGTTGGGAAAGGCATCAATCCTAAACACCTTGTCTCCCGGTGTTTAGGGTTGATGTATCCCTCGAAAAACATGCCACCCGATAGGGTTTTATTTTTTATGCCCGAAATGCTTTCGTTTGACGATTCTGTGGCCGCCAACCAAAGCAGAGTAATCGGCCCGTCAATTCTACGACCAAGGAAAGCAAAACTGCGTTGAAAGGAGCTAATTCTGCGTTGTGAGCGAAAAATGGGCAGTAACAGTGCGCCAGAAGCCTTGTAGATGTGTGGGGAGAAAATATGATATGTAACAGTGCGTGCGCAACTCAAAACCCAGTTTTGATGCTCGCAGACCTGAGCCGGGCAGCTAAAAATGCAAGGGGTCCTAGAAAAACGAGTTGTGCGAGCCAATAGGAATGAGGGGGCGTTTCTGCCATCGTGGCACAACCAGCACAACCTTATCAACAACACATCACATTCGTCCACCTCACATTTGTTTACCTGACATTCCCATCATCTATCTTCATTCCTCCGTTCCGTCATTCTTCCTCCCATACGGTAGTGCTTATGGTCCCTCTTCAGTGTCTCGTTCGTCGTTTCGTAGAGTCTCGTGTTGTAGTAAGCATATCAAGTTGCTTGATAAAATGACGATTTTAAAATCAGGTAAGTACTACCGTATGCTTTATTACGGTAATGCATTAAGGATATCGAAGACGCACTACCAAACTCAATACCCTCATTTCCCGCGATATTCATATTCATCTACGAATCAACCATCTATCTAATCTGAGACTTGGTTTTTTTAACGCCCATGTGCAAACTCGCGTTTCTGTAATGTGTGTCTGAAACCACTGACGGAAACAGTCACACGGTAGACCAGACGGAATGCTGGCGTTTCCGTCTGGCGAGCTGGGCCTGTGTTTCGAAATCTAGGGCGCGACAAACTAGCTCAACAGATTTCGGAACAGTGGCAGCCGAGCCACCCAGAGTGAGGATTCGATTTGGCAGAATGGACAAAAGTCAACTGTGCACAGTTGACAAGTTGCTCAGTGCAGTAGTTGGCATGGAAACTTGCGCCACGTGGGTGAATGCGGGGAAGAGTTCTGTGCTGTTTCTATAATTCCTCTGTCTGAGGCACGGAGGGGCGGAAAGTGCCCCCCGCTGGCACTGTAGCTCCCTACAAAGCGCGGGGTCCCTAGTGGTACCCCTGCGAAAGCTACTTACCCCTTTTTTTAGCAGCGCTCTGGTTTTTTTTTTTTTTTTTTTTTTTTTTTTTCGATGAAAGATACACTATAAAAAGTGCACAATACATCAGCAGTCGTAACTGTAGCTGGTGGGCCTAGGAGGCATGCACCTTCCGTACCCACCCTGACCTTCTACGGAGGACGGAAAGCAGCCTTCGGATTCGACCACAGGGACATGAAACCTTTCGCCCACGTGGCCGGCTTTATCGACGTGTCCCAGATTCTATCCATGGCTCGGCGCTCATCCCCGTCCAGGTTGGCACGAGAAACACCAAGCCTCCGCTTCGCTGCCTTAGCACGAGTGTAAATCTTGACATGCAACTGGAAAGCCGCCGCGATTCTCCGCAGGACCCTCCTTGCCCGGAATTTGCTCCTCTCGAAAACCACATCACACCTTTCCACCCAAATCCTATGTAGAGCGATTGACGTGATGGTAGCCTCGGGAAAACCCGAGCCTGACCCCGCTTTCTGGAACAGGAGATCCCCCAACGACTCCACCTTCCTCCTCGGATTGAGCATGCGAATTGCTCTCAGCAGCGCCCGGACCACCGGCTGAATGCGCGGACAGTGGAAGAGTGCGTGTTCCAGCGTTTCCCTTTCCCCACAATGCGCGCAAGCGACCGCCGCTCCGAGAAAATGCAACCTCTCTCCTACTTGCAGGTTTCTACTGTGGATCCGGAGCAGCACGTCACGCGCCCGGTTTGGAATAGCTTCTGAGTCCCGCACGCTTATCGCCCTCTGCCAGTCGATCGGGCGGCCCCGTACCTCCTCCCAAGCAGTCTGCTGCCCCGGCTTCCCACCAAGCCTCTCAAAACCCTTCCGAAGCTGTTTGAGTTTTGCCGGACAGCCACCTTCCCATATTGGTGAGCACAGCAACCTCGCTTTGGGGCTCCCCGCAGGCCCCAGAAAGCGCCCCTCCCTGATGACGGCAGGAGTCACCTCCCAAACATGCAGCGTGCAGTAACGCTCCTCTGCATCACCTAGCACGCCAGAGACGCAGCGGAATGCTCGGCAGACTAGCAAGTTGCCATCTGCACTGACCACCTTCCAGAGGCCATGGCTGGTCCCCGCCTTTAATACAAAACCAGATACCTCCACGACTTTCTCCGCCGTGATTGGTGTTAGCAGCAGCTGCTTCCACTCGTCAGGGGCTGCGTCGAAAATCCGCTTTGCCAGCTTCCCTCCTGCATCTCCCCCGAAGGATCTTCCCATTTCCTCCTCAGTTTTCAGCGTTCTGGAACCATCTGGGTGAACAACTATCAGGTCCCGCATGGTTGATCGCGCAAGCCCTTTTGCCGCGTTTTGCCTCCCCGCAGGTTTCTTCCCGTTCGGCAGGAGGCAGCGATTGTACAGCAACAGCTCCTGCTCCACCTCCCAGACCGTGGACGCCGCGATACTCTCCGCAAAGTTGGACTCCAGGAAGAGCTCGCAGGTGCGCTTCCATCTGTCGCTTTTCCCCTTCCACTGCTTCATCTGGTCCTTGTGCCCCCAGAAGACTTGACAATCCTGAATGTCTGCTGCCGTGTGTGCCAGGTCAGCACGAAACCCGCCTTGCTGCGACATCAGAAGCGCCACCCGCCTCGCGGCATAGCCACCCAGCTCCGTGAAGGGATCTCGGACGCCCAGACCTCCCTCCTTCCGTGGCTTAAACAGCAACTCCTGGCTCCAGAGCGCGAACTGCTTCCCCGCTGTCGCGTAGTTTCCAGATACAAAGTTGTGGAGCAGCTTCACGATCTTCGCCCAGATCTCCGGGGGAGGTGCATACACTTGCGCTTGAAAGGCGAGGATGGGGTTCACGTAGCCGTTCACCACCACTACTCTCGCCGTAGTGGTCAGGTAGTGGACCTGCCACTTCCCGAACTCCGCAGCTGCCCGTTCCAGCGTAATCTCCCATGTTACGGCCGCGTCCCCAGAGGGCGAGATCCATACTCCAAGTAGTCGCTCCGCTTCATTTGGCTTTACCCAGCGAAATAATGAGTCTTTGTCTGCCTTTTTTGTCAGGTTGCTCCCCAGCGGAAGGAGGGCTGACTTCTCCATGTTTACCCGGAGGCCTGACCTCTCCCCGAAATCTTCGAGCAGCTTCACCGCCCGACCAATCTGCCGCTTGCCATCCAGCACCAACGTCGTGTCGTCCGCGTACCCCAGGTAGGCCAGCCTTCCGCCAAACGGGTTACTGATCCCCAGTTTCCTTCTTTTTGCCTCTTGGCAGATTGGTTCTACCGCGCAGAGAAACAAGTACGGCGCAAGTGGACACCCCTGCCGCACGCCTTTCCGGACGGCGACGCTCTCCCCCAGCCAACCGTTAAGGAGCAGCCTCGTAGATGAACCCTCGTGCAGGCCTCTGCACCACCCGACAAACCTCCGCGAAAAACCCATCCGCTCCATCGTTGTGAACAAGAAATCACGTGAGACAGAGTCGAAGGCCTTCTGGAAGTCCACAAGCAGGAGGTACCAATCTTCATTTTTGTTTTTTGCTGCCTCAACCACGTTAGCGATAAGCGAAACGCCGTCAGAAAGCCTTCTGCCCGGTAAGAATCCATATTGCTCTTCCGAGATCACTTTGTCCAGCACCTTCCTCATTCTGTTAGCAATCACCCGGGCGATCAGCTTGTACGTGCTATTCAGAAGCGTGATCGGCCGGTAGTTCTGAACTTGGTCCCTCGGCCCCTTCTTGTGCAGGAGGATGGTGACTGCCTCCTGCGCAGATGCCGGTAAAATCGCCGTTTCCTCGAACTTCCGCACGAACCCGAGAAGATCCCCGCCCAGCAGGTCCCAGTGGCGACTGTAAAACTCCTTGGGGATCCCGTCCGCACCCGGGGACTTGCCGTTTGCCATGTCCTTGAGCGCCTGTTTGACTTCATCCTCCGACCATTCCGCATCCAGCTGCTCCCTGTCCTCCTCCCACAGCCGCTTGCGCGGGTCAATCGGCCAGGTCGGCATCTCCCCCCGCGGCGGGGGCTCGGCGAAAAGATCCGCGTAGAACTCCGACGCCGCGCTCAGAATGCTCTTGTTGTCCTTGTGCTCCGTCCCCTTCCATTTCAGCGATGGGATCATGGTCCTTTCCTTCCGCACCTTGACTTTCGCAGATAGGAGCTTCCCAGGCATTTCCCCACTGCGCAGCTCCTTTACCCCTGACATGAGCGCGAGTCTCTCTTGCTCCGAGGAGAGATACGCGGCCAGCTGAGCCTCCTTCTCCTAGCAGCGCTCTGGTGACGTGTCGCGCTGTGGTGTGCTTGAAACCGGGTAACCTACAGTCTCCAATTGCGGCTCGGTTCCCCCTCTGTAAACTCGAACTTGCAAATTCGCACCTTGGTGTGTGATTGTGAGTATACAAGAATTTGCACTCGCGGTGCGAACCTTGCCACATCTCAAAATCGATTCAAGTTCAGGTTATAAAACCCTGCTTAAATCGAGTTAAAAACGTGAACTTTCATAAACCCTTGTTTCACACACGTCCTTAGTTCCGCGTCGCAGATTTTAACCGTCCGTTATTGGCTGTCGGATCGCAGCGGTAGTCAGTGATAAGGTTAGCCTCTCATCTTATTCTGGTAGCCGCGGCTTCTATATCAGTGGTGACCGTAGCTGATTAGAGCTGCGCTGGCAGTGCTGCTTTAGACGTTTTGTACGTAGTGTTAGTAGTGCGTTGAAGATATGATTGCGCTGAAGACATGATTGCGCTGAAGATATGATTGCGATGTAACATCTGGCGATCGTTTTTTAGCTTGTGTATTGTGGATAAGATAGCGACCTTCGTTTACGGACGAACGAGTGGCGTCGATTTGCGGACGCTGTAGTAGCTCTTATCTTCGTGTTTTGAGGCGCCGCAAAGGACGCAATAGTAGCTCTTATCTTCGTGCGTCATGCAAACGCACGAGCAGCGTCGATTTGATGTCGCGTTGGTAGGTGTCGCCTCAGCCGATCACGTTGCGCAGCTGGACGAAGCCGAGGCGCGTTAGCCTGACCGTTGCACAAAAAGGGGTGGTTGGTGGGAGCCAGGGGGGAGGGGGAGGGGAGGGAGGATTGGGGGAAGGTGGTGAGGGGGGTGGAGGGGAGGCGAGGGGAAGGGAAGGCAGGTGGACGATGCCAAGGCACGTCTCTGGAACGTTGCAGGGGGAACAGGGGAGGAGAGGGCAGGGGGAATAGGATGGTGATGGTCTTTTTTAGGGGCACTGGCGAATGGAGACGTGGCGGAGCAAAAAAACGGAGAGGAGAGGACAATAGAGTACCGAGAGGCGACATGGCGGAGTGGCCCCATTCTCCCTTCTTCCCCTCTCCGCGCTTTCTTCTTTTCCCTCCTCATCTGCTCTCCCCTCGTCCCCCCCGCTCTCCCCTCATCCCCCCCGCGCTCCCCTCATCCCCCCCGCGCTCCCCTCATCCCCCCCGCGCTCCCCTCATCCCCCCCGCGCTCTCCTCATCCCCCCCGCTCTCCCCTCAACCCCCTCGCGCTCCCCTCATTCTTCCAGCTCTCTCCTCATCTTCCCACGCCCCTCCGTCGCGCTCCCCTTGTCTTCCTCATATGTCTGAGGCCTCTGCTTGTCCCGCCTCGCTCGCACCTTCTTCCCCCGCACCCACCTCCCATCCTTTTTTCCCTCAACCTTCCTTTCCTCCTCTCGCCCCCAACACACACAGTCTCGCTCACCTCTCATCCCCTCCCCCAGCCATGCTTCCTTTTCTCCTCAACCACCCCCCCCCCCCCCCCCCCCCCCCCCCTCCTCCCCCCCCAGCCATTCTAGCTACCCTTTCGATCCACCCTGCGTTGTTCCCCCCAGCCCGCTCCTCATCTTTCCCCCTGCTCACCCCTCATTTCCGCCCACCCACTCACCACTAATTCCCCTCCCCCATCCATCCCTCATCCCCCCTCTCCATCCATGCGTCCTTTGCCTCCCCTCACCTCGCATCTCCCCACACGCCCCTCCCTTGTTTTCCCTCTGCTCCCGCCTCCTCCCTCCACTCGCCTCTCGTCTTCCCCTCTGTCACCACCCCTCTTGCTCTCACCCCTCAACCCGCATTTACATTGTTAAACCCCCTCTCATTCCTTTTCTGTTCTCTCCTCCAATTTCCTCATTTCTTCCCCTCCCCCCGCCTTCCCTTCGCCCCTCCTTCCTTCATCCCCGACTCATCCCCCTCCTTTGTTGGGGTACTTGCCTGTGCAGCATATGAAATCGCTCCTTAGCTGTCTGGTCCGACAGGTGTTGCATCTGACTCCTTGTATTAGTTGGCAGCCTGAGATACCGTTTACAAGGTTCATGGTGGATCTGCATTGCATGTTATTGGCTGGCAGCAGCTGCACCGGCCGCAGCCAATAGCACCGTATAATGTTTGTACCTTAAAGGCTGCTTGCTGGGTTGCTTATACTGTACAGCATAATTTATACTTATTGCACATTCCTGTTCATTTCAGAAGTGTGAAGAGCGTATTCCTATCCTCTTATCAAGAGAACCTTGTATCAAGATTGTACTTTTTGCCTGGTAAAACTAGCGAGAGGCTTTGGGATTGTTGGGAACAAACAGTCGTAAGCGCCTCTGTCTTGTCGAAACACCAAGACACAAGCGAGGCAGCGCATATCGAAACACCAGCGAGTCAACCCTCGGAGGTTGATGTACCGTAACCGCTGGAGGTTACGCGAAAGTCAAAGGTCAGCGACTGTTATGAGTTGTAAAAGAGAGTGCGCAGGTAAACGAATAACGAAGTTGTGACTGAATGAACTGCGAATACAAAGAATGTCCATACTAAAATAGAACTACGCTAGCTCGGAGAGAACCTCGGACGAGCGAGGTTGGGTGCAGGTTTGGCGATGAGAAAGCCGAAGGCGACGCGAGGAGCCTCGGCAGCGTTGAAATCGGCCGAACGTGCGAACTCCGAAAATCGGGTTGTACGCGAAGCAGTCAACCCCGATAAGGAATTCGGGAAAATTCCTTACACCCCCCCCCCCTTAAGAAAGGTAGTCAATAGCCGAGACACGACGTCGTGCCAAGTAATCAGCAACAAGCGTCGAGGCGACCAGTGAAGCAGATGGCACCCACGTGTCGTCCTCACTGGTGCGATCCGTCCAGCGGATCAAGAAATCCACGTGGCGACCAGTGGCGTCAAGGCGGACCCTATGAGCGAGGATTTTCGAAGGATCCAGGGTCGGCTCCGGGACGGGGCGAGCTGTCGGGACCGCGTGCTGACGTGCAATGTCGGTCGTGGCAGGCACGAACTTCCGAAGAAGGTTGACGTGGAATGCGTCGTGGATGTGCCAGTCGTCGGGGAGCAACAGCTTCGCAGTGACAGGTGTCACCATCTTGAGAATTTGAAACGGTCCGCAAAAACGTGGCCGAAGTTTCGCAGGGCCGGGCAGGTTCAAGTTCTTCGTGTCGAGAAGGACTAGTTGCCCAACTGTCAAGATGAGCTCCCGTCGTAGAAGGTTGGTATATTTGCGGGAAGTGATATTCGCCTTGCGAATTGCATCGGCAGCTTTTTCTCGGACCTCCTGAAGTTCCGTCACGAAAGTCTGGGAACGGGGAACCGGGTTGGTGAGTGTAGTTGTCGTTGGGACCGCCGGATCCATCCCATAATTGAGGAAAAACGGGGAGTGATTAGTCGTGCTGGATGGTGCGTTGTTGAAGGCGAATTCCAGCATGGCGAGCGAGTCTTCCCAGCGGGCAGGGTCGGGGCAGTTTGTTCGAATTAACTGCTCCATGGTCTGGTTGGTCCGCTCGGTTTGATCGTCGGTCTGCGGGTGATAGGCCGATGAGAACTGTAGCTTCGTGCCGTATTGGGCCCACGTTTCCTTCCAGAACTTGGACGTGAATTTGGGGTCGCGGTCGCTGATGATCGCCGAAGGGATGCCGTGCAGTCGCACAACCGTCGAGATGAAAAGTCGCGCAGTTTCTTCGGCTGTGATTGTTGTGCGGCATGGTGCGAAGTGCGCCATTTTCGTGAAGCGATCGACGACGACGAGAACAGCGTCGTTGCCCGTCGGCCCAGCTGGCATCCCCGTGACAAAATCCATTGTCACCTGTTGCCACGGTCGTTCGGGTGGCTCGAGGGGTTTAGAAGCCCAGCTGGTTGTCAGAATATTATCTTATGTTCTAGCCTGTAGTGGGGTGCTCTATAGCGAGTACAACCCTTCTAGGGTTTGCTATTTGTATCCCCATTTCTGCTAGTTCAACCCTCTTTCTTTCTTCTAATTTTGTCATGCTATCAGAGCAGGTCGATCCCCTTGGATCGATCCTGTGGGAGGGTTACCACCTCGCTTCCGCTGCTACTTTTTCCTCCCGCCGTGCGCCCCGAGGCGCGCGGCGGTTTTCTGCCCGCCGTGCGCCCCGAGGCGCGCGGCGGTTTTCTGCCCGCCGTGCGCCCCGAGGCGTGCGGCGGTTCTCTGCCCGCTGTGCGCCCCGAGGCGCGCGGCGGGCTTCTGCCGCGGCGTTCGCCGCGTCCCGCTCTGGACGCGTCGCGACAGGCGACGGGGACCCGTCGCGGCCCCGCCGCCCCACTCTCGCGGCCCCGCCACCGACTCGTCGCGGCCCCGTCACCTTCGGTCGCGGCCCCGCCACCGACCCGTCGCAGCCCCGCCACCTCCGGTCGCGGCCCTGCTGCCTCACGTCGCGGCCCAGCCGCCTCCGGTCGCGGCCCCGCCAACTCCGGTCGCGGCCCCGCCACCGACCCGTCGCGGCCCCGCCACCGACCCGTCGCGGCCCCGCCGCCCCACTTCGCCCCCCCCCCCCCCCCCCCCCCCCCCCCCCCCTCCTCCCCCCCCCCATTTCCCGTCGCCCGTCGCGGCTCCTTCGGGGGCCGCTGTGGGGTGGCAGGTATGGGGGTGGTCGGTGTGCATTCCTCCCTTTGCTCCTCCTCCTCCTTCGTCTCCCACTGCTGCAGCTGTCGCTGAGGGGGGTGGTTGTGTGGGAGACTGGGGTTTAGGGTTTAAGGGGAGTGCGTGGGAGTGGAGCTAGCGGTGTAGCAGCGGGTGTGTGTCGGGGAGTAGGACTGTTTGGGGAAGCTGCATGGAGGTTGCCGTACTGTTGTCCGCAGCACCTGTAGTCCGGGGCGCTGTCCCGGTAGCCCAGTGAGCTACTGTAGCCGTGGGTCTGTTGCCCGTCTGCCGCTACTTGAGCCGCGGGGCCTGTTACTCCTGTAGTCCGGGCGCTGTCCGGTAGCCGCTGTGCCAGTCTGCCTCCTATTGCCCGTGTGTCTGCAGCTTCAGCCGTCGCCTCCTATCTCCTCTCCCCTCACTCTCTCTCCTCCTCCTCACTTGCCCGTTGTGACTACCACTAGCTTTGCTCATAATTGTGAACTCTAAACTATTTCTTCTTGAACTTGTGCTCAGATTGTGTGGTGACATTGTGATCCACCCTGAGCTTGTACTGCTTTGCCTGCTCTGCTGATTACACCCCACTTTGGCTATGGGGGTGTGTCAGAATATTATCTTATGTTCTAGCCTGTAGTGGGGTGCTCTATAGCGAGTACAACCCTTCTAGGGTTTGCTATTTGTATCCCCATTTCTGCTAGTTCAACCCTCTTTCTTTCTTCTAATTTTGTCACTGGTCGCTGACGTGTTGACTTCATTGCTTGGCACACCCTGCATGAGGACACATATCGCTGCACGTCGTTAGAGGAATCAGGCCAATAATATTGACGGTGCAGTATCTTCTGGGTTTTATCAACCCCGAAATGTCCGGAGAGGTTGGAATCGTGAATTTCCTGGATGAGGAGCTCACGCAGCAGTCGATAAGCGGGAACCCAAATCCGGTCGGTTCCGGCTTTTAGGTAATAGTCCCCTTTCTGCGTCGTAGCCTGCTGATAATTTCCCGAGGTGAAGAAGGGGTCTGTCGTGTAGCCGTGGGTGAATAGTCCGGTAAGTAGCGGGTTCGAGTGGGTGATGAGTACTGCAGCGGATTGGGCTGTCGGTCGGGTCAGGGCGTCGGCGATGTTATTAGCCCCTTTTTTATACGTGATGCGGTAGGTGAAATGGCTCTCCATGTAGTCGAGCCATCGAATCTGTCGTGGGTTGAGGTTGGGTTGGGCTCGCAGATACTGTAGGGATTTGTGGTCCGTGCGAACAGTGACGTCGGCGCCCACCAGGTAGCATCGCCACAGTTTAAATGCGTGTATGATGGCGAGCATCTCCTTGTCGTGGATCGGGTAGTTGCGTTCGGCTGCCTGCAGCTTGCGTGATTCGTACGCCATCGGCTGCAACCCGTTCCCGAAATCCTGGAGGAGTACAGCCCCGATGGCGAAATCTGAGGCGTCGGTCACGACTTCGAACGGCTTCGATGGATCGGCGATGCGCAGCACAGGAGGGGAAACGAGAAAATGTTTGAGTTCCTGGAAAGCCGCCTCTGCGTCCTGTGGAAACAAAGAACGAGAATGAAATGACTATGAACGAAGTGAGTACAAATAGGAAACCCTAATTGGGTTGTACCCCCTATGGGATACCCCACTATAGCCTACAGAAACAAGTAAGCTATAAGTTCTGACACACCCCCATAGGCAAAGTGGGGGAGAACAAGGGGTCACAAGACCAGTCAAGCAAAGCAAAGCAAAGCTCAGGGTGGATCACAAAGTCACCACGCATTCCGAGCACAAGTTCAAAGGCCACAAGGCCAGTTCACATGCAAGATCATATATAGAGATATACAAAAAAAAAGAGTATATATATGCGAAAGTACAAGCAAGGTCAAGAGGAGAGCAAGTGAGGCAAGACAGGCACAAGACCCAACTGCGTGCAGCAACGCTGATGATCACAAGGCGCAAGTGCCTTGGTGAAGACATCAGCAGTGTTGGCCTCAGAGGCCACGTACGCAAGTCGCAGCTGTCCACGCTGCTGTAGCTCACGAGCAAGAAAGT